CCTTTTCGCATGCCCGAGTATCACTTACGACCCCGAGAAAGTTTCGGTGGGGAAAATTACCACCTCAGGAACCGAGGAAGTAGTAAATCTGAAATTTTAGCATGGCATCCTCTGCCCTCGCAAATTTTCAACATCCCCATGGAATTTTTGGCGGGAAAAATCATTACCTCTGGAGCCAGAAGAGTTAGAAGGCTAAGAATTTCAGGGGATGCTTCCTGCCTAAGTAGAAGCCTCACAAACTTAAATTCAGTTCCCAAATATGCCGAGCTCTCACGTACGACACGCAAAAGTTTTGTCGCAAAAATCACTCGGGAGCCAGAAAATTAGGAGACTGAAATTATGGAGGGATATTCACCTTTCGAGTTTCAAATTCAGTTTTCACATGCCGGTACGTGAAATTTTTAGTGGGAAATTCCACAACTTAAGAAGCAGAGAACATTTCGACTATTTTTACACAGAGCAGAGTTTAAAGCAGTGAAAATTATTACCAGGCAATCGTTCGGTGGACGGAATTGCACAGAATGCATGATGGCACCGGTTATTTTGGTGAGTGCTGCTATTTTCTCAAATTTGTTTTTCATGTTTCAGTAAAGCGGGGTACTGAAGCGCTAGAGCACTAGGGCCTAACTGAGATAACAGAGTAACCGCTGTCTTTCTTCACAAAACGAATTTAGATTCTGTTGCTGATTAAAAAATAATGAACTCGGAATTTTTCTACTACTAGCGTTTCCCAAAAACAGTGATATTCTACTCTGCCTATCCCAAAATTATCCAAATTTACTCACTAAACCATCAGGTTGCATCACTGCATTCAACCGAATGCTACTGTTTCAGAATAACAAAGCAGCTCACTGGTCGTTGAGTTTGCCAGCAGTACTGCTCGTTAACTTTTCTGTTCTCCAGCAATATTCCATTGGTATCGTTAGAGCTTTCGACACAGTACACTGTTCTGGACTGGTGTCCACCGTCACAAGATACAGTACATTCGGACCACTTTCCAACCATCCATCTAAAATTTGTAAAAATTTGCTAAAAAGTGTAATGAAAGCAGCCTGATCAATAGCAATATTGTTAGTAAAATGTGCAAGGCTCAAATATTACTGAACAGTGATGTTTCCGAGGGACAAATCATCAAAAAATACAATGATCAAAATTCCGTTCCACTTCACCCCTCCCTCTTTTTTGCAATTAACTCAGCTTGAATTTAACATTACTAAAGCTAATTAGTAACACTGGGGTTCAACTTAGCAATTTTCAGTCAAATTTCCTGCTAAACACTGCTTTTTTGAGCTCCCGTTTTCTAAGCCTCTACGACCTGAATAGAACTGGTATTCTCTATCATCCTCGAAATACCACTGTTTTCTAGCACTAGCAATGTAAAAAAGTTAGTGCAAGCAAAGAAAAAGACTCCTCAAAAGCATTTATTTCCAAACGAAGTATGCGCAGGAAGGAAAAATCATGGAGGCTGCGAGAAATTATACGTCATTTTTCACGAAAATCGCATGCTCTTTTGATGCTCCAACAAACTTTCTCAAATTTGCAAAATGGGAAAAAATTTTCATCAAGCAAAGGGATCGCTGCCCTTTTTCCAAACGTCTTCCACACGCGCACTTCTTTGAAAATGGCAAGCAGAAAACTGAAATATATTTCGGCAAGCCTTTGCAAATGCAGGCATTCATAAAGAAACTGGAAAAACTGCTCTCAAGAAAACATTGTCTCAAGAGATAACTTTCTCACGGAAGCAGACACTTGAAGCGTACATGCAAGCCCCGACCTTCCCATGCCCTCAAGTTTGGATCACGTCAAGACGATTTTTTAGAATTGTTAAATTCTAATTTTTCATTTTGGTGAAGCTGCAAGCAGCCTTCTGTACAAAAAATTACGAAAATTCAAAAGTTTTTTCTTCGAACTCCTTATTTCGAAACAAAGGATTAGAAGAGTTTCTTGCTCAGTTGCTCGACACTTTTTTTTGAAGTATTTTGCTCACAAGTATTTTACTCCTGCGCAGAATTCCCAACCCTAAATTCCGCTTTTCGAAATATGCAATATTTTTTGTAATAAAAAGAACTGACATGTTATCGAAAAAAAAATTCGAGAAACTGAAAAAATTTTTTGATTCATTTTTTAAAGTCACAAAGCAAACATAAAGAAGCAAATGCCGTCAAAATTGAAAGAAATTAGGGAACTGTCAAGCCTTCATTACAAGATTTTGCTTTCAAATAATGCGTCAAAAAGCCAAATTTTACGTCAAGGCACAGGAAAATTATTTATTAAAAAAATTGTTCGCAGTTAAGCGTTGCAGATTTGTTCACAAAAAATTATTGGGAATTTATTAAAAAATCAGCACTAGGGTTTTTTTAATTTTGAAATTGTAAAAAAGTCACTTTTTTGAAAAAATTTTAGAAGTTAATTGCAAACATTTATGTCGCAAGCGTTTAACGTTTATTTCGCAAATGTTGTACAACAGCGAAGATGCTCCGAGTTTTCTTTTATGTCTCACATCAAGCACAGAATATTAGCCTTTACAAAATTAGCTTGGACGAGTCCAGCTAAACGCGTAACAAATCTAAACAAATTTGATGCTCCCCAGAATATTCGGTGAGCAAATGCACCAAACCATTTTGTTACTTAAATTCTGTAAAACAAGAAAAAATTTAGACATTAAAGTAATATTCTGCAAATAAAGTCAGCATTTAAGAAAAAAAAATGAAACCGGAAGATATGAGATGGAATTTTGCTGGTTAGATAAATACAACGTCACGCAAAGAGCATACAGTGTCTTCGCAGCAAATAGCTAGAATTCTCATTTCGCGTGCTTTTCGAAATCACCAAGCAAAACACTGCATGCAATAGAAAAGCAATTAATTCATTGATTGTCAGAATCCTCTTTTACGCATGCACATACTGTTAAGCCACTTTACAAATAAATGTCTACTAATGAGATAACCATCAGCGGCATACCAAGAAAAACTCTGAAGCACGTTAAACATTCGAGCTCTCCATGCTTTTGAGCGCTGTGGTCAGCTGATTATTGCGGAAATCCCGGCCAAAATGATTGAGCTAAATGCACGGCACGTATATGCTAGATGCAGCAGAGGCATTTTTAAGCAATATGCGTACGAAAACAGCAAGCGCGAAATTATAATGCAAAAGCAATAGGCACAAAAAAACGCTGCACAGTCGATCGCCAAAGCGCATAAAGAAGCACTTGTGCATATAGACACTAATTAAATAAGTTACTTTTTTTCGAATTTGTTTGCATTTTATAAATTATTATTCAAATATAAGTCACTATCACCGCATCGCCAGCATCCAGGCACATTCTCACAGATGCGCACACGCACATACCGTAATTTAAAAATTCTTGTGCCCTTTCTCATTTACATAAATCGAGCAACAACAACCTGCAGCTGAAATTATACAATCACTTTACAAAGCTGCTGCTGCAGCTGCGCAATAGCTTTCTGTTTTCTCTGACTTTCATGTGTTACTGTAATTAAACTACATAAGCACAAAAAATGTGTTAATATGATGTATGCCCATGGCGCAAATGTTAAACACTGTGATAAATAACAAAATACAATTGGCAAAAGCGATGAGGAGGGGGAGTGTGAGCGAGTGAGCACATTGGTGGTGCGAACCAGTGAAACAAAAGAAATATTTCATCAAATGTGTGGCATGGTAACTTACTGATATGATACGGTAATCGT